TATTGGCTAACTCTTATATTAGTTCCACCCATTTCTATTAATCTGTGTATCGCCACGTGGCATTGACTTACCAGATAATGTTCCCAGCATATCTCTGGCAGCTCCATGACTTTTCTCTTCTCTCCGCCTTCTCCCTCCCAGTTTTGTTTTCCCCGCCTAGTTCTGTTCTGTCCTAGCATGGGCTCAAAGCAGTTCTTTATTTATTAACCAATAAAAACAACACATAGACAGAAGGACCTCCCACACCACTCAGTGGTTAAGACCGCATACTGTTCTCATAGAGGACTTACTTAGTTTCTAGTACCCACAGCTGGACCTCCACAAGTACCTGCTCCAGGGAATCCAGCATACTTTTCCTGTCTTCATGTGGACTCATGCACACATCACACACACACACATCACACACTCATATATCACACATGTACACACCACTCACACTCACATCATACACATCTCACACATCACACAACACAATCACATATATCATAACACACAATCAAACACACTCATATCACACACATAAGCACCACACACATCATGCACATGCATACAATCACACATATCACAATACCGCATTTACACATCACACACTCATACATACTCACATATCACACAACACAATCACATATATCACACACATCACACATTCATATCACATATGTAAACATCACACACGCATACAATCATACGTTATCACACACATACCATACACACACATCACACCACACATATTACACACTCACTTTATGCCTCACATACACTCACACACACTCTCACACATATCACATACACCACACACACTCTCACGCATAAAAATTAAAAATAGTTCTTTCGAAGCCACCCTCACGTGCTGTCCTGTAGGAGTTCTGACCTCGGCTTCCCCCTTTAGATGGATTCCTGGAAGCGGGGTTCTCAAATGGCGTGAGCATTTTCCCAGGCTTTATTACAGACCACCAGGTTGTCAGCTGGATGGTTCTTCTCAGCTCTTCATCTGGGCCTGACCCTCGAATGAATTTTAAACCACCCCTCCCCAGGGATAGGAAATGACCTGTGAGAAAGTGAGATCACCTGAGAGAGTTTACCTTAAAAATTGTGTGCTCCAGGTTAGATCCGAAACCAGGCGACAGACATGTCGGGCTGAGGCTATGACCTCACTTTGGAATATCTTTATGTGACCATGCCGTGCACATAATATTAATCATGTCGTCTGGGGAATGTCTCACAGCGCTGGTATCGTGGAGTGTCTCCCTGAATGCTCCCCTCACCAGCTGTCTGGGTGGCTTGAATGTGCTGACTCAGCGGAAGCTTCTCAGCCAGTCTCCAGGTGGCTACTGTGTTATGTGAAGGCTTGCAGTGGCCCTGGGGGTGATGCAGAGGTTGAGGCCAGGTTGGCGGGTGAACGCCAACCTGATTTTCTTCCTCCTTGATGATGACATTTTGAGCTGTTGGCTTAACTGGAAGGGTGTGACCTTTTTTTTAGCCTAGGGCAGAAGGCAGGGGTGTGAACTGAGCTAATGTGGCAGCAGTTCCTGGTGTGGAGGGAGAGCATTGGGCCGAGAGTCAGCGAGCCAGAGGTCTGCTCGGGCTGGCCATTGGCCACTCACTGTGTGACCTGATGCACTTGCTGTCTTCCCCATGCCTTGGCTTGCTCTCTGTAAAGGGAGGGCTAGGGAGGATTCTTTCTCAGCATCTTTAGAACAGGACAGGGTAGTGGGGTTTCAGGTTGAGAGCCCGGGTGTGGGCAGGGACTTTAATCAAACACGTGGAACTCTCCGGGACTCCCTGGAGCTTCCCAACTCCCACCTCTTGGTGGTTCATACCCATCCTTGGAACCTTGGTGCCTGGCATGGAGCAGTGTACTCCAGTGTCTCTTTCCCTAGGCGTTTATGCCTGCTCCCACGAGCATGCTTGTCCTTGGTCTCTCTCTAAAGAGAGTACCGCCACTCTCCTGTTGCTGTGCCAAACGTTATGAATGAAAGTAGTCTCAGAATCGAAGATGGAGGCAGCTGGATGTTAATTGGCTGTGGCCAGCCCCTCCCCCATCTTTTGTTGCTCTTTGTTGGTGGCTTGCACCCTCAGTGTTTTGTGCCACCTTGACTCCTCATCTGTGTGTGTGTATGTGTGTGTGTATCCCCGCTAAGGAGGAGCAAGGAGCTGCCTTTGCCTTTTTAGATCCAGTTGTTTTTTCTTAAATCACATTCTTTGGGCCCTTGATATACATATGTAAAATGACAAGTAGGTAAGCTGAGCACAAGAGGAACCTAACCGTTGCCTCTAAAGTCCGTGTGTGCTTAGGCTTCCTGATACATTCCTGTGTGGGTGGACCCTAGTTCATTTCATTCATCTCTTGAATTGATTGGATTCCGCACAGTGAGGTGTGGTGACAGGAATGTTTTCAGAGAGAACTGGGAAGAAATGGAGCCTCATTCCGAGGTGGTTCCTGCAGCTCAGGATCCCAAGGACTGGAGCAGAAGATGTGCTGTCTCTGAAGCCGGGGAGGTGAGAGAGTGAGTGTCCCGCAGAACAGCTTTCGGCTCTGTAAATAGAAGCTGATGGATTCATTTTGGGATCTTTCCAGGAACTTTATTCCCAGGCTATTTATTTTAGGTTCCTATTTTAAGGTTTGTTTTTTTTTGGCAAAAGAACGATAAAAGCGTTGGAGTGCTCTCAGTTCTTAGTAGGAAAATTTCCAAGTTGGGGGTGATCTGGAGCAATCAATTACCAGGCTTACAGGCGAATTGACTATTCTCACAGTGGGCACTGCCCCAGGCATACCAGGAAGACACAGAAATTCGGGGCATACAGTCTACAGTGAGATGCTTCAGCACATTTGAACCACGACGGAAGTGCCCATTACACACACATGCAAACACACACACAAACACAGATACCACACACACATGCACACATGCAGACACACATACCACACACACAACAATACAAATACACACACACACACACACACACACTTTGTGCATCCCTGAGCTGGGTTTCTAGGCAAACCCTAGAGCAGGGAAGCAACTGAATTTGCTTCTTGTTTTTCACGCCCAGTGGAAATGGCCAGTACCAGATATCTGCAGTGGTCATCGGTTCTGGGCCAAAACCACACTGGGCCTGCCTGTCTTGCCTGACAACTTTGAGATAGTTAAAAAACAAAAACAAAAACAACAATATGTGGTTTGGAAGGAGTCTATTCTTCAGAGTTCACCACATGTGTTAGAGTTGTGCATGTAAATATATGTGTTTATATTTATATATATAAATATATATACATTTAGTTATAGTTATGCATAGGGATTATTGATCTACCTGTGTAATGAAATTTAAAAATCTAAAAAACTGAGCATTTTTCATCTTAGCAAGGTGAACTATTTTTGATTTTTGAAAAGTTATTTATTATTGTATGTGAGCACATGCATGCCACAGCACACATAGATCAGAGGGCAACTCCATGGAATCCGTTCTCTCTTTCCACCTTCATGTGGGGTCTGGGAATTAAGCCCTGGCTGTCAGGTTTGCATGGAAAGCACTGTTACCCGCTGAGCTGTCTTGCTGGCCCAAGGTAAGCTATTTTTAGATGTGAAACGTGTGTGGTGGAGAAGGGAGAAATGGGCCGGGGAACTGGACACAGTTAGGGGCCGGGGAACAACACAGTTAGGGTGGAAGCCGTGCAGCTTTGTTTCCAGGGATTGTTTATTTGATCTCTTTAAGTCCCAGCTGCACTAGCCGTATCCTAGCCGTGGATAGCGAAGTTGGAAATGTATTTGCTCTGTCTAGATGTCTGTGGCCACTGTTACTGCTGTTGTGCTCCGTGTGTCTCCTTATCCTACATTGAATCTTTCTATATTCCAACACTGGGACCCAGCAAGCCTCATGAAACCGATACAGTAGGTTTAGTGAGGATTTCTCTTACCTAGTAGCCACACAGATGCCCACAGAACTGGGGCTCAGATCTTCTGGGGTCTTCTTTTGTGATACCAACACTCTTCAGGAGGGTGCATGGGTGTGTGTGTGTGTGTGTGTGTGTGTGTGTGTGTGTGTGGCACATGAGTGTATATCTTAATTTGCTTACTCAAATAGTCTAGAATTTAATTATCTAGAATTCCTGGGCCTCTTTCCGGAACCTCCCCACCTCTGAGAGTTGAACCTCAGGACTTTGTACTTGCTAAATAAGCACTCTGCCTCTGAGCGACAGCCCCAGCCCTGGAATGCTCTTCAAAATAAAAAGACTGAGGCATTGGAATTTAATTTCCTCCAGTGTTTGCTAGTCCACGTTAGCCTCCCCAGAAATACCCAGGTGCCACTGGAGGCCAAGGATATGGTGCCTCCTAAACGCTTCCAGTAAGAGCAGACTTCCTTGACAGTCTCAGTGACATGTGAGCGGAAAAAGGGAGGTACAAACGCAGACACCCAGGGCGCAGGACAGTCTTTAGAGCATCATGGAGAAAGAATAAGTGGATTGGGTGAGTGGGGGCTGGGCTGGGAGGATCCTGGGCAGGGGAGGCACAGAACAGAGACACTGAAGACCACCGTGTTGTAGGCTTAGTTCTGGACTTCAAAGAGCACCGTAGTCCCTCCGTAAGGAGGTGATAGTACCATGTATCTGTGACTGGGTATCCTGAGCTTTAGCGGGGGAGGAGCTGGTCGGCATCGTCTACATTTCTAAGAGGGGCTAGGACCCTTCTTAGACTAGTGACCAGTGCAGTGATAAGACCGAGGAAGATTCTGGGAAGCTGTGGGGAGATGGGGTGCCTGAGAGTCTTGGGGTGTGCTGCAGATGAGGGAGCCGATGGGACACGTCTGTGTCCTTGGGTCCAGTGGTTTGCTCTTGGACTAGTAATGATATTTTTGCTCCTGCCACCTGAGTTTTCTTCAGCGTCTGTCTGGGGACACTCTCCGTGTTTAACTCCTGGGACGTGTTTGTGACCGAGGAGGACCTGGTGGTCCAGGACCCGACTGCCGGGTAGGTCCACTAACAGCCCCTCCGCTTGCTCTTGCAGCACACGTGGAGAACGAGGAGCAGTACACCCAGGCTCTGGAGAAGTTCGGCGGCAACTGCGTGTGCAGGGACGACCCAGACTTAGGAAGTGCGTTTCTGAAGTTCTCCGTGTTCACCAAGGAGTTGACAGCACTCTTCAAAAACCTGGTCAGTGTTCCCTGTGTGCAGCTATGGTGTGTGAAATGCCTGTGATGTCACCCCCGAGAAGATGGCAGCCGGCCAGGGTGGTTCGTTTCTGAGCGTCTGTGGAGATAATGTCTGGTTTCTGCAGGGCCTAAGATAGCTAACTATGCTTTCTGCATATTCACATTAGGTAAATTTGGGGCAAAAGTTTACAGTTTTAATTTATTTCTTTAATATGGCTTAAGTTTAGCTTGGCACTTTAAACACTCAGGCGCAGGATGGAATGGGTAAAGTCTCGTGTCTTCTTCAGGGCCCCTGACTCTAGTTTATGGTGGTTTGGAAACCAAAGACTGGTGTCTTCTGATTGGTGTCTAGTATACTTTCCTGTGACTGCAAAGAGACTCCATGACCAAGGCAGCTTATAGAAGAAAGTTCATTGAGTTCACTGGGGGCTGGCTGACTTGCAGCCCCGGCGGCGGGTTAGAGTCCATGACCATCATGGTGGGGAATATGGCAACAGACAGGCCAGCATGGGGCATGACACTGGAGCAGTAACCGAGAGATCCACATGCCACACCAGACAGAGAGGGGCAGAGCTAATCGGGAACAATTGGGACATTTGAAACCTCAAAGCACACTCTCCATGCCACACAAAGCCACACCTCTTAATCCTTCCCAAACAGTTCCACCAACTGGGGACCAGGCATTCAATATATGGGCCTATGGGGGCCATTCTTACTTAAACCACCATATGATAGAGGGCATCCAGGTTGGTCATATCTAATAGAATTCAGAGGAAGCAAGCTAACCTGTACTCAAAGCACAGGAATACCATGGCTAGTTAAAGTACTTCAGGACTGAAAGAGAGGGCTGGGTGGCATAGGGTGGGCACCTGTGGCCACTGCTTGATAGCTTGGGAAGGATCAGACATTTCTTGTGCCTGCAGCCCAGTGCTGTCCCTGCTGTGGGAACAGGATTCTGAAGAAGCAGGCGAGAGGGTTTGTGATCCTGCCCTGGTGGGTGTTTGTTTCCCCAAGTGGGGTATGCCCTGGAGATCTCTGCAGCATTTCCTTCCTGTTTTTCTCCCCCAGCATCTTCTAAAGACTCCAGAAGGCCAGGTCAGGCCACAGTCGTACTCTCTGCAGAGGTCATAGGCAGCAAATGTTTTCATTTCTCCTCTCAGCTTCTGCCGAGCAAAGAAGCAACTCATTCCCAGAGGCGGTGGTGGCAGTGGTGATTGGTCCACGGGGCTGTGTCAGTGGGCGGGAAGCAGGGAGTGCCGTATATGAGTTTATTACAGGAAGGGCAGAGAAAGGATTGTCAGGGCTGTCTCTCTCCTGTGTCCTCCTGAAAATATTTTCTTAGAAGCAAATAGCTGTCACAATGCTTAGGTTGTTTTCTCTGCTTGTTTGCCAGTTTGCTTTAACTTGACTGAATCTGGAACCCCTTGGCATTATAAACTCTATCCCTCTCTGTCCCTGTCCCACACAGTGGCAAGCTGCACGCTGCCTCTTGGAGCCTGCTTTTCCCGAGGTTGTGGCAGACTGTAGCAGGTGGTTCAGAAGGGAGCAAGGGCCTCCTTCGCATGACCAGGGTAAAGCTCTCTAGAGGCTGACCTGGTGGGGTTCCCTAGGGAAAAGTAACTGTGGTCCCTGAACTCAGTGCCAAGTGGCCAATCAGCATCATAGAGCATGACTTTTGAGCACAGAGCAGCATCCTCAAGGGCGAGAGATCAGAGTAAGCAGGAGAAAGGACATGGCGGGAGACGTGTAGGGCGAAAGAAGACATTGCAGCAACTGTGTGCATAGGACAATCGCAGGCAGACCCGAAGAAATCCTGCATATGTATTGGGAGGGTGGGGTGTTTCTGGTTATTAGAGGAGTTCGGGATGTGGGAGACCATTAGTGTTTGAAAGTATAGAATTAAAATCTGGGGGCAGCCAGGCATTGGGGGCATACCCCTTTAATTTCGGTATTCAGATAGCAGAGATACAGGCTAGTCTCTGAGTTTGAGGCCAGTCTGGTCTACGGAGTGAGTTCCAGGACAGCCAGGGCTACACAGAGAAACCCTGACTCGTAAAACCAAAACAAAAAAACAAAACAAAACCCATAAAACCCTGGGGGCTGAGGGTGTGAGTTTGGAGTCCCAAGATCCAGGTATAAAGTACACTTGTAATTCCATTGAGGGCAAGATGGGGGGCAAAGAGATGGATCCCTGGAAGCTGGCAAGCTAGCTAGTCTGGCCTACATGGCAACGTTGCAGAGCAATAAGGAGCACAACTCATACAGAAGGTATCTGAGGACCAACACCCAGGTTGTTCCTCTAACCTCTGCACTTGGACATCTGCATTTAAGTTTTATGGACATGTCACACACACACACACACACACACACACACACACAATCTGACAAGACTGGGTAGAAAAAAAAATATCTCCCAGAAAACAGAACAAGAACTAAAGGAAAAATGTCAATTAGGAAACCCAATAAGGATGAATCCCCCAGCTAGCCTTGGACACAGCAGCACCGTTAGAAACTCTAAGATGTGGCAATACCTTGAACTACTGAGGAAAAAATGGCTCTGCCTGACCTCAGGCCCAAGCCGCTGAACTTGTGCGTAGGACCAAAGATGTTATCGTACACAAGGCTCTGGACGGTTAGCTCCCATGCATCATTTCTCTGAAACCCTTGCAGGACGTGCTTTAGCAAGGAAAGAGGGAGGCTGGAAAGGAGGGAATAACGTCAGGGCGGGAAGGTAGGCACCGATTGAGGATGGAGAGCGGCCTGCCCGGCTCAGCTGGGAATGTTGGAGGTGGATGGGAAGCGTTTGTATGCTCTCCCCATATCCCCGGGCAACTAGCGTTTAAAATGTTTGCTCACTCATCTCTCTGGACTTTCTCAGTTTGTTTTTAGATATAGACTAAAGCCAGCCAGGTGCTTCCCCACTTTTTAGCTCCTTTAATCCTTAGACCAATCCCATGAATTGAGTCAGTTTTGCACCTGCACCATAGATTGGATAACGGAGGGTCCCAATGGTGTATCGAGCCGAAGTCTCGAGGACCAGAGCTCCTTGCTACTTTGGAGTATATACTGCTAATAAAGGCACCTGCTCCGTTCCACACCTTAGGGTCTCAGTTACTCATATGAGCAGTCCTTCCTATCTTTTATTCTCTGTAAAAGCTGAGAGCGGAGCAGAGCTTGGCCTCCGTGCGGTGCCCGGTGCATTGCTCACCAGACTGTGGCTTTACCACTTGCAGTATCTGAAAAGTGTCACTGGGTGCAGTTGCCGTCAGACCTTGTGCGGAGTGGAAGTCTCAGGGCAGGACATGGTAAGCGTCCATGGTGCGGCAAACGCGGGCATTAAAGTTATTCCGCTTCCTTTGCTTCTGGTGACTGCCACACACAAGATCTTGTTCTGCCACCTCATGAGCATGGGGTGCAGAGGCTAAGTGGGCCTTAGCCATTGAGGGACTGAGCTGGGGTCCAAAATGAGGTCGTATAGCCCACACTCATGTTGACACCCAAGGAGGCTGCTTGTTGGCATTTGGGGGGACAGAAGGATGGAAAGTGAGAGGAAGCAAAGGGTTAAGTGTGGTGGAGGTACGTGCAGACAGCCTGGAGATGACCCAGGGTCCCACCTCACGTGGCCGATGTGTCAGCGAACTGAACAAATGGGAAGGGCTCGCAAAATGCCGCTGAGCGCCTAGGTGGTCTCTTGGGGTTGTTCCAACCTGTAAACTCACGAAACCTGACCCTGGGAACTTTGAGGGCACATGCCTTGCTTGCTATAAGTTTCCAAGTTTTCACTTTGTGGAGTGCCGATCTTTGGTCTTATTTTTCAACAAAAATAAAGACAGAGAAAAGTTGTCTGTGAGCCTCACTTAGTGCTGGCCATGGTGTGGACGCTGTCGACCAAAGGAATGCCGAGCCACAGCTGAGCTGACGATAGGAGAACTCTCCTTTTTGGGGGGGTACACTTTCAAAGTCTTGTTTTGGGTCACCTGTTGTTGGACTCTTCTTTGATCTCCCACAGACCTTGAGAAAGCACTTCAGTGTAGTTGAGAGTCTCAGCTTCACTTCTTTCCCAAAAGAATAATTACCATCTGCCTGTTTGGAGGCCTAGAAGGATGCTTCCAGAGCAGCGGGACCAGCTCCAGGGAAGGCCGACTTAATATGAAATGAGATTTTCTTCCTAACAACATGAGACTCTCACCCTTAACAAGACTGAAGAGTCGGGACAGAATCCAGGGAGAAAGCAATTGGTTCCAGAACGAACACCGTGACATTAAACAGGTCGTAAAGGCAGTAAGGCTTCTTAGACTCTTTGCCCTTCTCAGAGGAGCACGAGAATTCTGGAGAGATTTTCCAAGGAACACTTCCATGGAGAGAAGGAACTTTTTAATGACAAGCTTCAAACCGGGACTGATGTCCGCAAGGTCAGCTTCAGAGAAATGTCTCATCTCTGAGAATGGGAAGTCACAGTCGCAGAACCTGCTCAAGTGAAGACTTTGAGCCTTCACTTGAAGAACAGGAGCCGGGGAGGCGGGACTGAGGGCAGAGTTACGTGTCAGAGCCACTGTGTCCCTGAGCTGAGGAATTTCCATTTTCTTATACCAAAAGAGGAACCAGGAGTTCCACCGAGCACCTCTTGGTCATCCTCGTTGCTCTGTGCAGCTTCCTGGAATTAGAAGACACCATAGCCGCGAGCAGAGCAGGCCACTAGGCTCTGATTGGATAAGCAGAAGTGAGTAGCTGTAGTGCCGGGCAGAGGGGCGACCCACCTCATTTACTTTGCCTCCTGAATGCTGGGATTAAAAGTGTGTGCCACCATGACAAAGTCTGAGAAAGTGGGAGACAGATACTGTTGTGGGAGGGGACAGGGAGGAGAGCTGAGACAGGGCCTGACAGGGCCTGGCACTTGGCCGTGCACAGCTGGTGTTGGATAGGCCAGTGAGCTCCACGTCGTCTATCTTTTATGAGCACCTACCGTGTGCTTTGCAGGCCACTAGCCTTCCAAGAGTCCCT